CGATTTGCTTATGTAGACGCTGCGTGACGATATCAATAGGCGGGTTGATATGATAGTGTTGATGGGTAGAGCTAAGAATAGGCGCTTACGCGTCGTTGCTAATTTGAATATCTGCATAACTAGTTCTAATAAATCCTAAAATTTTGTTTCACAAATATGTTCCCGAAAGGCCGGAACTAGGTCTCGTGATATGGTACGCCGAAAGATACTAATAATACCGCCAGTGTATCGGCTAGGCCCGCTAATGCCGACCCCTGTCTTATGGGGGTGCCCTGTAACCTTTGCCGCTCCGGCGCCTGCCGAGCCGCCTCAGTACTCTGTAATGGCGCAATCTCCCGCTTGGACGACATCTCGAGATAGATTTGCTTTACTACCTAAGAAGCATGCTTACCGTTTGGGACTGGTGGATAGGGATCTGGAAACCCGTGTGTGTCGGCGCCCAGCGCTACAGCACTAGGTTATCCTACCTGCTTGCCGCCGTCGAAACCCGTCTCCTGAGCCTAAAGCTATGTGCCGACACCCGCCGCCACCTGGACGACACGAGAGCTAGCGATAATCACCACCAGAGCATCAGCAGCAGCAATGGCAAAGACCACGATGGCCGGCTCGAGACTCAAAGACTACTAACGGGCTTCTACATGGCCGAGGCCAATCCGCTATTCTGTAAGGCGCTAGCGCAGCTGCATATCGCTAACATGGCCCTCTATTTTGACTTTCCGGAAAGGTACTTTGATTTTGTTGTGCTTAATTAGGGCCTGTTCGGTTGCGCGGTTGCGTTTTGCGTTTTTATTGCTAGATTTAGGTTGCTGTTACGTTGATACCCGGTTCTTCGTCCATCTAAGAATACCGTAGCTAAGCCTAACAGTGTTTAGTTTTGGAATGACAGGCTTTCTCGAACCGTATACCTGGGTATAATTGACGTAATGATTATCGTTGAGGTATTTATTATCGTTGAGGTATTTGTTATCGTTGAGGTATTTGTTATCGTTGATGTGATAGGGCTGTGTTTTGCACGGACAATTTCATTGAAATTCTATTACTGTAGCTAAGGCTAATTATTGTTTTACTAGTCCTAGTAGATACAAGTGCTTATATGATAGGCAAGCGCTTGTACCGTAAAACATGCTTTGGAAAGCGAACTATCGTATTAGAAAATATATAAGAATGTTGATTGACTTTACTCTAATGCTTCTTCACTACTGCATAACCACCTTATCATAGAGCTGAACATCTACAAAATTAAGAACCCTTCGCTTTTTCTCTTTTCTACTGTATTTGCAGAAACTTATCTATCCCCTGACACAGGCATACAGCCTTCCACCAAACCTTTATTACCAACTTCTCAATAAAGCTAGGTATGTCCTTCCCTCTCTCTCGCCGTCTAGTAAAAGTCGTTAATCTTACTACAGGTTATCTAGTAAGATGAGACTCTCTACTATCCTCGCTTTGGCCTTCACTGCTGTGGTGGCAGCAACGGCAGTCCCAAACCCACATGCCGAGGCGGATGCTCTCATCATTGCTGGCCTAGAGGCACGCGGCACTTGCTGCACGTGCCCTAATGGACAAGCTGGCTGCGGTGGATACTGCTTCACCAACTGCCCTCAGTGTATCTGGAACAAGTGTTAGAGAGGAATAGCTGCATTGCGGTGTGATTAGCGTTATTAGTAGGGTATTAAGAATATTAGTGACTTTTCGTGAATACAGATGAGCACTGTGTCTATCTCGATACGTATGGGATGTGTAAACCTTTAAGACAATTTGTATTCGTTGCGAAAGAATCTGAGAAAGATCTTGCGTTGACTGGTTAGATGAGAGCAGCGGAAGAAATGGATTCTGGTGGAGCCGAGCACCTGGATTCTGTGTACAGCTATGTAGTTAGGGCTTAGTGTACGTAGGTGGTTAGTGCATGCACCCGGTCTCTGGTTAGCTACAGCACCAACTGCATTATTAAAAGAGCAACCTTCCAAAATCAACACGTGATTAATCCACCGTAATGATAGCAATTTTTTTAAAAAAAAATACGATGAATTTATTTATAAGACGTAGAAGGTTACCGTCTTTACCGCGCAGTCGCAAAAGAGTATAGTATTGCGATACCAACTTTGACGCGCCAATACCGCCGCCAACGCCAGTCCCGTGAAGCCGTCGCTAAAAACTTGTTACTACTTACTCCTCTATAGTAGAAACAGCTTATAAAATATATAAAGAGACTACTAGCGTGCAAGCTGCTCCTTGTAGGATCTATAGTTTCTTAGTTCAAAGTGAATTATTTGGATGCAAATAACAGCAAGGTAACAAGAAGTTAATCTCGCATAAGATCCAGTTTTACCTATGTAGCGCTCTCGCTTCTCGGCTGCGCTAGCCAAAATATACATGCAAGTGCCGGCAGAGTTTGACCTTTTACGTGACTCTGTATGACTACAAAGTCATCGGGCCGAACACACGGCGTGATGGTCGAGGGCACGGGCCTCTTTCTGTGCATGAGGGAGTTGTTGTTAATGCAAAGTTCAAACAGTACCCTACTGTCTACAAGTCATCGTTAATCTCGATGAGAGCTCGCTCGTTTCTCTTGACTTGACTGGTTTTTCCTCGGGCTTCTCCACCATGAGTCAGAGCAGTCAAGTCAGCCAACTAGGACGATTGCTATGACCTTGTCCACGATGAACATGGCCTGTAGTGGCTTGAGGTCTTACATCTCGAGCGATTATTGTGGTCACGATGCAAGCCATGCCAAAGAGTATGGTGATATACCAAACAAATTTAGAACTCTAAATACGTCAATGAACCACCCATATTGGAAGTCAGGAAGGAGCAAAAGTAACCTAAGAGAATTGGCAATACATGCTTGGAAGCATCGACGGTAGCAGCGAGAATGCTAGTGGCAGCTCCTTGCACCTCGGCTGATGGAGTTGGAGGGCTCTTAAGGATTGGGGATGCTTTTGGACCAAAATTTGATGCAATAATGGCGACTACTGCTGAGAGTTCAACGAGCGGTGAAAGAGACGAGACATTGTGCGTTGCGACGTTTCGTGGTCTAGACAACGACAAGACTGATAGTTGTTACTACTTAGGCTCCACCCACAAAGGGGATCAGAGTGTTATAGAGTGGAGTAGAAGAGATTCAATCCTTAATTTCTCATCGCCTCTTATGAATGTTGTCAAACTGTTGGTTATCGATTGGGGTCCACATCATTTTTTTATAGACATCCCATGGAAGCACCAGTTCGATTCAAGATGCTTTAGGGTTCAAACTAGCCACAAGGAAGAAAAAAACGACTCTAGTCTTCAACGTGCTGGCCTCTGGCGGAACTAAAATAGCCGGACAACACCAAACCACCACCAAAAGTAGCCACTTTGAACGCTAAATATTAGTACAACAA